GGCTCATTAATGTGGGCGGCCAGCTGCAGTAACTGACGAGCTTCAGTCGTCCCACTGTGACATTGCAGACAGGACTCGATGATTCGTGACGGTAGCGTTGGCAGCTGAATTTTGGGAATTTGAAAGCCTGAAGACATTGAATGGGGTTTATGTTTAGTTTTTTCACTTTATATTTACATTTATTAGAATATGTAAACAAGGAAGTTTGATCAAACGAAAAACCGATTCAGAAATAGAAGAAATAAAACTAACCGATTTTTGACAATTAGTAGCTCGAATCTAACACCTCATTCAGCGGAACCCAAACAGTTACAACAATACCCTGAGGCAATTGATACCGGTACTTTTACCTCATCATCATCAGAGGAACTCTTACATTTTATAAACTTCTCATACAATCGCCTCAATAGTCCCAAGAGTAATGCTAAGTGCATGGCGTAACTCACTTTATCTGAAAATCTCACCTCATCACTGTCCAAGAACTCAATGAGCTGAGTGTCTCCAAATGCCATGGCGAATATCCGTACCACCGTATTCGTGGCTATGGCCACGTCTCCAATTGAGACCGCGTCTAGTTGCTCTTCAAGCCAAACAACAAACTTTGAATGTTCAAATTGGGATGACCGGTAGAGCAGATAAGCACTGTGCAGCACCACACAAAGCTCACAACTGTCCTGCAATAATGAGGGTAGTACTTCTAAATAAACTTCAAAGCTACAAAATTACGCATACCTGTAGTACGACTACTGGAATGCCATTTTCAACGTAGACAAGCAGCTCCCCCAAAGACATAAGTGAGGCTCCTGAAAGTTTGTAAGTTGATTTAAAACTGAAAAGGAATGTTTATTGTCGGCTAACAAACCTGCGAATACCACCGCCGGCAAGGGCCGTTTGTCGTTGGAAGGAGACAGAAGGATTGGAGGTGCTGTTCCGGAAGGTGTAGTACCAGACGTGATGTTCTCCGATGGTACACCGATGAGCAGCGCTGAACAAACAAATCTAAAATTTATTTTATCGCGAGGAAGTGGTTGAGTTTTCATAAGTCGCTTGTGCACCCTATGTGGATTGGATCCCAAGGATACCCGAGCAAACCAATACTGAGGTGGAGACGTATCCGTCAGAACAGAAAACATTTCTCAGTCGGGGAATGACCCATACCAATGGTTAAAGAAATTTAAAACCCGGGAGAAAAACATCAATTATAGGCTATTCCAGGAGGTTTCTCACCTCTCCTTTAATATTTTCGAACTTCCGCTCCTGAAAAGGTTGGGTCGGAGGATATTCGACAAGGAAGTTCGCTCGACGTCACGAGGGATACAGTAGACTCCACGACTCCAAAGAAAAGGCTGGGTTATGGCGCCCCCGAAGAAGATTTTTTTACATTATCGTTGACGTTCCAAATCACTCCCAGCCTCATTACTAAACCGCTTCTGGGGATGTACGTCATTATAAACAGGAACAGCTGTAAAGGTCTTGAGGCCTCGAATATCGAAAGCTTAACCCTTTCTTTCCGTCCCTAGAGAAAGGAGGCCAGACAGTAGGTAGGCAATACAAATGGAAAGGAAGTTGTTTTGGTTGTACTGATGAGCAAATTTTCTGAACAGGATTTGGCCCTAATGAGTAACTCTGTAAGCCTATTGGAGTGGTGCAGTCGGACATTGAACTCTTTTGAAAAATACTTCAATCAGCAGAAGAATGGTGAAGTTTGGATGATGTTTAGTACGCTCAGTGCCCTCAAGGTACCCCACAGAAACATTCTTCAGATAGTAAAGGTGCCTACTGTGCCACCAGAAGACTCACCTGGAGGCGGATGAGCGAGCCGCACGACGGCGTTTGCACGGAAAACAGCCTCTTCACCGGGCTCGATGTTCCTGGATAGAAGTAGAAGGGTGTTAAGGGAGGAGTCAACCATAAGTCGACCCTCTTCTCTTGCAGTTACTGTTGCCGTATTCACCATCACATGCAATACCTCCACATCACATTCTGTCTGAAAAATCAGCTGATAAGGCATCTAGGCTTTGGCGGCAAAATTCAAGCTTTCCAGTACCTGCGGCAGTACCGTTCGTAGTGCACTGCTGACCGTTCTAGCGAGAGGGTCATGATGTTCACCAGAAGAGATTAGCCATAAGCTACCACCACCAATCAACACATTCAGTGCCGATTGAAAACGTGATAGATACTGTAAACAATAAATAGGTAACAAGTAAACAAGTAACAATAAATAGGTAGTAAGTAAACCGTCAAAACTGTCTGAAACAGGGAAAAATTACTTAATGACCCAACCTTTTCAGAGAGCTGATTCCCATTGGACACCAGGCTAACTATGAGATTCGGCATGCCTTCGTCGACTTCTGAAGCATTCGCTGCAAGCCGACTATAAATGTGCTTTGCAGCTGCTGGTAACGCCTGGAAAAATCAAAATCGAATAGATTCCCGCATTTACAGCAATGGGTATGATTCTTTACCTGAGTGCTCCCAAGCATGATGGATGGGCATATTTGCATTCCACCGACACCACCACCACCCACTGCGATTGCCACCGATTCCGGTGAGACCGAGAGGTCCGTAACGGACGTCTCACTGTCATCCATTCATACAACCTAAGCAGACTGCATTGTCAATCAGGGGTGTGAATGAGGATCATGACGAGATTTTTCAAAGAGCTGACCACATGAAATGCGAAAGGAAGGGTCCCCTACATTGTTCAGGGCACACTTATTCAATGACTTCCGAAAATTGGATTTGATTTAACAAACGGGGATAGGAACGTTAAGTGAGGGATAGAAAACTTCAACCGTATCGGAATCCCACACGATTGAGTTACTGCTAATTCTTGAATCCACATATCTATAGCCAATCAATAACAATTAATAATCAAATAACGACAAAAAGAACAATAAGAGGAGTAAATATTTGCCTTCATTATCAAAGACGTCGACGGAGGAAGAAAATATAACGGCAAGAAGCGAGGATACAACAAGCACTAATACTGAGAGTTATATATTTCAAAAAGAAACAAACAAAAAAATTCAAAAAATATTCACCTGAAATAAATAAAATAAACAAAAATCAAACATAGCAGAAGTCAAGGACTTTGTGATCTTATCCATTATGAAACGGATAGTTTGTTGAAAGCCTACTAATCCAAAGTACTTTTGGGAACAAAGAAAAAACAGAAAAAGGCAAAAACAACTCTGGAATAAAGTAATATGTAAATAATATTAAAATGGACTACAAAGGGAAGACGAAAAGCAAAAAGTAATTTCGGAAACACTCAAAAAAAAAACCCAACGAAGAGATGATGCTTCTGAAAAAAGTGCTCGGTCGGGGTAAGAACATTTACAGTACGATGCGCCTCCTCTTCGCCACTGAGCTATCCCGATTTTTTAATCAATGACTGCACGAAAGCTACGAGTACTACAAATGAATGTAAGTTCGCCATAGTACCGCACGAACTACCCTCCTATGTACCTAAATGTCCTAGCTCTGTGGGCGTACATAGGAGGGTAATTCGCGCCCCCTTTTTATCCCTCCTCCGCCAGCGAAAACTATGACAGGTAGAGAGATGCATCGACAATAGAATGAAGCTGAATAAGAGGAGAAAGAAAGGCGACATTCGGAAAATGGATCATTCGGGTTCAGTTCTAAGGGTATTAGTCGCATGTTGGAGGCAAAACTTGACGCAATGCGGACCCGGTAGAGGGTCAGCTGTATCGGCAAGGGCTATTGCAATTCAACCTTTTTCACTGACTTACTACAGCTATTTTTCGACAAAATGACCAAAATGAATTTGTTTGGCTGTCGGTCGATGTGTGACACTTGATATTACCACTCTCAAATTGCAGTCAAAAGACAATCGTAGACGATCTTGGGGAGCCAACGGAAGAGTACAGGACTTCCGATACCTCGAGAGAACCGCTGATGGGTAGCGAAAGGTCGAATAAATGCGGCATGTTGAGGTGGATGGAGTTTACTGGTATCCTATACGACGGTGCTGCAGGACACTCAAAGGAAAGGTATACCAGATATTGGTGAGGCCCACGATGCTCTATTGGCTCGTAAGTAAAAATCATGAAAAAGAGCCAAACTCCGATTAAAATCAGGATGTTCAGGTGGATCTGCGGTAGACGACCAAACCGTATGAGAAACAAAACACTGGAATGTTCTTGAGAACAACTCCTGTCTAGTTGAAGATGAGAGAGCAGCGTCTACGATGGTACGGGCACGCACGGGCACGTACAGAAAAGAAAATCGGTAATTCAATAAGGGAGGCAATATAGTTCGAAACTCAAAGAAAGAGATCACGAGGAGTCCCGGAGAAAAGGTGGCGGAAGTGATCAAGAAGCTTGTCCCCCCGAAGCTGGAGTAACGGAAGGTGTAGAAGATGGAAAGAAATGGCGACGCCCCACGGGAACAGCAGATCCCGCCATGGCGCGGAATGAACATTAGGGAGAAAAGGAAAATGAATAATAAGAAACAAGAGCATTTGTCAGAACAAAGAGCTTTGATATGGAAAAATAAATTAGACTATGGACATGGGACTAATTTCAGTTAAAAAACGAAGACATTTTTACTGAAAGGCTTCGGAAAGGCACCTCACGTCTCTCTATGAACCCTGTCTCAGTAGGCTTCCCATCGAAGAGGTCGGCTTCGGCCGATACAATCGCACCACACCCTTATGGGGCTTCGGACAATGTCGTTGGATGGCTATGGGCTAGTATAAAAACAATGTTAGTTCAAAAAAGCCGCGGTCCAAACTTCTGGAACATTTTGCAAAAGTAGCCGAGACGAACGGCCGTAAGTGCAACAGCAGTGCTCCTGACAACGGCAATTAATGGTCGTAACTAATTGACAAGCATTACAATCTCTGGGGACAGCCGCCATTTGTTCGATCCTACTCCAAGTTCTTTCTGGTAAGCCGATGGGGGAAAGCCCGGACTTTTGAAGAGATCTCACTTCTCCCCAATTAAGATGAACCACGTAATCATGCTGTAGGAATCAAGGCCCTCTACAGCTAGTCTTGAAAGCCGCACATCGAAGGACGAAATCGGCTTGAGCAAAGGTCTAACTTTGAGATGTAAGGATTCTTGACGAGGTAGTCATGGCGAATATACCCCTGACCGAGCTTTTTGCTACTTTGTTTATTTATTTACTTGTTTATTACACTTTGGGAATGGAAGGCTCAAATCCAATTATGAGCCATACAAACGTTGTGTTTATCCGTTCCTCTAGGGAATCACCAATCATAGCTCATAACGGGGTTCCACTTGAAACTTAGCCCACAACTCATCTTTTTAAGACAGACATTATGACGTTTCCTACTTCCGGGACAAATATAAAATTTACTTTCTCAAAAGAAAGTAACCGATACTGGTATTGTTTCTCGAGCGAACTACCTCTTCAAAATGATAGAATGTTTTGGAAAAAAGAAAAGTGCACTTGTAGAACATTAAAAAGAGGACTAAAACATATGGGTATTTTCTTACAAAGCTGTAAAATCAAATTTCTTGTCGACTACGCGCGCAGAGCGAGTAGAGGAGAAGCTTTCTCGGTTTTAGGTGGGCATTTCCTTCGTTAATGGTTCTTTCCCATTCGATTTTTCACCCTCCAACGAAGGCATTCGGTCTTTTCCCTTGTTAACTTCAGAGGTCCCGTCCGCTGCTATGTCACGCCACTCCATTAGCATTGTCGGAGTGCTTCAGATTTCCTTTACTTTCGTCCAAACCACTTCTCTCTTCTTCCTCTACTTCGAAGTCTACAGATTTCTTGAAGGCCGTGGGGCGCCACGACTGCTGAAGGAAGGGTTGATGTTGTTGATTCGGCTAGTACGACCGAAATTTTCCACCACCCACGGACCGAAAGTGATTGGTGTCTTGACACGACAAGCCGGGCCCACCGCGGATACGGTGACTGACTGTGATCTCGCATACCACCCGTAACCTTTTATTTCAACCTCATTTTTTATACTTCAGGGGTTCTTGAATCATGTCCTCTAGAACTGCTAACTTATTGTGCAAAAGAATTTCGTCTTGTACCCTCCTCCTGCTCAACTACGACCTCTTCCTTTTCTTCCTCCTTATGATGGGACTACTGCATGCCGCCTTTGACAATTAAGTTCTTCTGGGAGCAATAATATGGCGTACTTTGAACCAAAAGAACGAGAACTCAGAAGAGAGATAGGTTCTTATAGTGCCTTTATGGAGCTGTAAAATGGAAAAGGTGGAAAAAACTTCCTGAACGACGTATTCATTTCGTGCCAGGGCCCACAGCCGTACCTATTCTCAAAACCAAGTTCCTGCCCATAATTTTTCTTTTCATTCTAAAATCAAATTACTCAAAAACGTTGAAGCAACCGGTAACTACAGTGTAATACCTTGTTCTACAAGTAAATAATATTACCAAAAAATCCAGCTGTCAATAAGAAAATGTTGTGACAGAAGGAAATGAGTGAGCGGGAACGAACGAACGACAAGGACAGCTGTTGACGAGCTGTTTGGTGACAGATGCGTACGCGTGAACGATGTACTTCCGACGGAAGTCGTCGTCTCACGTCTGGCAGTTACTGTAGCTCGATAAAAATTTACGGTCTTTTTTATAATACATACGTTTTTTAAATAACAGCAGGACAATGTTCAACAGAATTCGTCATGTACTTTCCTTGTAAACAAAAATAGTAAAGTAATTGAATGTGAAAAAGGCAAATACAATGATTTACCGTATTCCATTCGCATTCAAATAGCTCTCTTACCCATCTATGTACGTTCATTGCGAATATGCTCCCTTGAGGATTACTTGCTGACTACTGGCCACCTGTACAGTATCCCATAACAAAGAAAAAATAATAAAAAAAAAACAATGAGAACGTAAACGAGCCCCAACCTTAAAGAAACTTAAGAGTGACAAAAAAACTGGAAAAAAATTGGGGTGCGTGACAAAGGCGCGATAAAAAGTATAGGGAACGAGAAAAAGTGGAAACTGGATAGGAACTAAATATAGCGCTCTTCACACCAGAAGGGGGCCTTCAAAATGAATACTTTTTGGGAGGAAGACAGAAAAGTGTAAACGATGGAAATCCGTCCCTTTACCTTCAAAAGGGAGAGTGAAATCGTGCTTCTGCAACCAAGCAGGGAACTGTGACTCTACTGTTGACTTTAATTTTCAGAAAAATAATAAATTACTGCAAATCGTCACGAAGAATCGAGCAAAGGCTAAAATAAACCCGAGTGCGCCATGCATTCGACATCGCTCAACTATCACGAATTCCACGCTTCCGCTCAATCTCCAAGGAATGACCAGATTCGAACTGATGATTCTGCAACATTAAGAAACTCCTCGATCAGGAAAGTGGCTTACAAGGTTGAGGATTTACTTTCGTACAAGGAAACGGAACTGATCTTTTAGACTATAGGAGGATTCAAGCTAACGCATGTAGTCACAGCGCTAGCGGACTGTGGTGGAAAAGAGGAAGAAAAAGGCAAAGAAATAGAAAAAGCAACTGTCCACTGCGCTACATCAGCCTTGGAAGGCTCAGGGCCCATCTTCAATGTTTTCCAAGCCTTTCAGCATCAGCTTCACTGAAACGAGAATCTGC